CAACAACAACAGTTTACTGTGGTACGCAAACGCGCTCAATACACGGCACACGATAGTGAAACTATCGACTTTAATTTTATTTGTTTGTTGTTTTTTCGCTGAGCTTAATTGAATTTGCTCGTTGGACGCCGTTTGGATCTATTTATTGATGCTGTCTGATTAAAAGCCAGTCGTTCATTTCTTATTGTTTTTCTTTTCGGAAACGAACACGCCTATACATTTATCAACACTGTTATGACGTAATTGATATTCTCGGAACCTTGACCGAGATTAGCGCAAATTATTTTTTAACAAAACATTTTCCTTCTCGATAATACAATGCGACCGCCCCGCACCACAACACCGACTCATCGCACGATAATATCCAGTAATAATAGATATTACCACTATAATAACTATTATTAATTGTAATTAATAATATTCTATGGTTTCCGCCATATCTGAAAAACGTCTATGATCAAACGGTTATTAGGAATGCGCGTGTCGCCCACACGCGTTGCCGCCCCTCCTTCTATTATGCGCAGCCACACAGTACTGATGTGATAATGCACTACAATAAATTATGCGTGCCCCGAAATTGTGTACACGAACAATAAGACGGTGTACTGCGATTGTCTTTTCGTACCCCGAGCAGATGACTTGTAACTATCCATAACTTGTACGGCTGCTCTGGGAAATCGTAATAGCCCAAAGAAACCGCCGGACGCGAAACCCACGACGACGCGTGTGTGGAACTCTATACGACTGTACCCGCCGAAGCCCAAAATTCTTCAAACTTCTTTAAACTGCACGAACCTCTCAGAGTGCAACAATAACGGCAGTAATCATGTGCACCGGTCGGTTTGCCGCCGACTCGTTAAGCATACGCGCCCGTAGTGGCTCGGTAGTCGTACCTAGTTGTGTGTTATTAGGTACGTGCTGTGTCAAACCGCACGGTGCAGGATCAACTCGCGGTGTGCGGGCAACGCAGAAGAGGGGAAGGTGTTGGTTTTGGTGCGGCCGTCTATGCATAGGTTGTTTTTTCTGTAAATTCCACGCGTCGCCGCCATTCAACACTGTTTTTCGATCGTACAAATATATATATATATATATATTCCAGTTGGTCTCACCAAAAAAAAAATTATTACTTTATGTGTTGCAAGGTATCCGATCCGCCTCCTCCTACACGGCCGTCTCGTTAGCGCCGACGTGACCGCCGGTCAAAAATCCACTATCACACGCGGTATAATTAATAACTGTGGTGATGGACAGACGGGATGAGAAATTTCCTACCGGCCAAGTGCAAATGTGATTTTTAGAACAAATAGAAAGCTGCGCGAATCGACTTGTCCGAAAGATTTCCGATAAAAATGCTGGTCGGCACATTAACATCTACACGCGACGATTTATGTTTTCGACGATTATTAAAACAAAACGCTTTTTACGAGTGCCCGTCGGCGATTCTCCTCGACGGTCGTTCGCCCGCGGCCAAGCTCGTTTATTATAATATAATACCTGTATTATTGTGACGAGGCGGTCGAAACGAGAACGAAAACACACACTTACCCGCACCGTAATAAAAAAAAATTACTACAAAAAATCTCTACGGGCACCGTGCAAGTCGACCGCCGCCGCCGACTCTACAAATCGTTTTGTGATGTTCGCCAATGGATTTCATATGTAAACATTAGAACTGGAACTCGATAGCAAACGGAGCAGTTGGGAGTGTCGGCGGACCGTACTCGTTAAAAAAAGACCTAACCGACGACGGGAACTAACCGTTTATGAACTCCAATATTGACTGTTGTCGAGCGAAAAGCACTCGGAACACGTTGGACGGTAACTAGGCGTACGACATGATTTAGCATGACGTACGCTCATATTGTTGTGCTCCGTTTTCGATAGCGCTGTTACAATGTAGTGTACCGTAAGTGTGTGTCGGAGGATGCGTTTGCCTCCCCTCGATCTCTTGTTCGGCGGACGTGCAATATTGCTGTTCGGTCTATCATAACGTGACCGGTGCGGTTCGTGAGAAAAATAAACGAACCCGACAGCTATTTTAATGTGGAACGGCGGCTATGACGATACTCCGCGCTGAGTACCATCGGCTGGCGGTGAATAATAATAAAAAACAAAATAGTACGACAAAAACGCTCGTTGCCGGCCGAAGTGGAATAATAAAATAATGCGTGGAGCATACTCACCGTGATATTATAATCATTTTTCGCAATTACCGCGTTATACCGTGTGTCCGTACGCACAAGCGGCGCGTCTGTCGTTTCCGCCGACTGATGAAAAAACGTTTTCACCGGGATAATCGCGATCCCAAATATAATATATCATTGTTATCGTGCGAGCTGCAGAGTTACCGACCGGTGGTCGTAGTGCGGCGGGCGGAATCTACACGAGTGCGTACTCGAACGATCGGTAAAAAAATCGTTGGGCTTCAACGACGGACTTTTCGAAAACCTGTAAATCGTTTATGAGGTTTGGTGACTTCCGGCGATTCTTCACGGCCCTCTCCGGGGAGGTGCAGTCGCGTACTCTGATTTTCACGAACGATTTCGAAACAGATCTTGGAGCGCATCGCACTGTAACTATCAGTTGACGGGGTCGGTGCTCGTTATCGATATTATTATACATTGACGGTGTACAAATTACACTGCGGATAGGTGTAGTGCTTAACTATACTGTAAGGCCGCAGAACCCTCGAGCCACCAATTATTGTGAGGAGGATTACGAGCAGACCGCGCGCGATGGCGGCCGTACCACGGCGGCAGATAGCTAGGCACACTATTATTTTTTATGTTTTTAAAAACGTGTGATGTTTATATACATACAAACGCGTTGGTATCGGTTTATAAAACAGTTGGTCAGCGGCGGCGTATTACCGCGTATAATCTAAAATGTTGTACGCGTACTCGATGAACAAACAGAGGCTAAACTAGTTTTTTTTTTTTTTCCGTGCATCTATCCGCGTGTGTATACAACACCACAGTGATAATGATGAGCGGTAATCTTCGTGAAGACGACGTGCGTGCATCTAAACACCTATACGTATTCATAACATTCCCGTCCGCAGTGGTCTGCTGGTGTACGTAACCAATTTTCGTTACCCGTTTGTCGCAGTAAAAAATTCCTGGCGCAGATGTCAACACGTCAATCGCATTGTAAATGTTATTATTGTCCAAACACACACTGTTTATTACGGTGATGCGGCGCGAGCTAGTTTTCTCCACTAACGTTTTATTTCATATTTACCATAATGCGGTCGGTGATACGTTCTTCTGTGTATGGCTCCCCGGTTTTTTTGACCGAAATCGAGGGGAAAAAAAAATTCCCGGAAAAATATTTTCACATATTTAGTAGTAGTGCATAGGTGACGTCGCGAAAACGATAAATTACGGTTTATAAATGCAGAGAAAATACGCTGTTAAAAACTGGTTTTTTTTTCCATTTTTGAAATTTGCGTTGGAATCAAAGTCGTTTCACACTTGCAGTGATTATTTGTAGTAGGACGGTCTCGTGTCGTTATTGTTATTAAAACACGATCGACGTGTATGTGTCAATGACGCGCTACAATAGGCGTGACAACTAAAAACAACTATAAGTCTATGAAAACGTCGTTGTTATTACTGCCGAGCTTTTCATAAGCCGTCGATAGCAACTGGCGGTTGTGTATTTTATTTTTCCGTGTCGTCACCATTGTTATCATTGTCGTGTCGTGTATCTAAAAATACGCTGTTTAATAATTCTTAACAACAACATGAAAATTGCTCGGTTTCTTCGCACGTATTGATTTTACACGGCCGATATCCGGTGCGCGACTCCACTGCACGAATTGTTTTTTACAATGCCGCCTCGGATTCCAGGAAATCAACTTAATTTACGTTTTTAATTGTCCAGTCCGTTAATTTTCTACGCCAGTTTGTGGACCGCGTCGGGCAAAATGGTGTCTACAGCCAATTGCGATGGGGCACCGGCCGGAAGTCCGGTCATGGCTGCCACAAAAAACTCGATCGCTCTCTCTCCGTTTCCTCGCCGGTTTCGTCTTTTCCTCGGGGCAGTTGGAAAATGTCGGTTTTTTTATTTTACTCCGACCGGTGTTTTCCTCTATGAAATCCAGTTACTCTCGCTCGCCTCTACGATAACGCGTTGAAAAATGAATTATAAACGTTTTTTTTCCCCCTTGCAGCTATCACGCGGTAAGACCGCGAAAACCGCAACCGCCAGGATCCCCCAAAAAAATGTATTATGTATAAAGTCGAGTTGTATTCCGACGGAGAAACGGATTCGGTTTGTGTGTGTGTGTGTTTTTTTTTTGCGACATTATACGCCAATACCTCGTCAGTTTATCTCGTTCATCTCTTTCGGTATGTTTTTATTTTCACTGCCGCATTATAATCGTACCGGCGATACACTGTAGTCGGTTCAGTACGAGGAAGAGGCGGAAACAACGCGTGTACCACTTTATAATAATATAAAGGAGAGACGCTAAGACGAAAAGGTTTTTTACGGGACGTCGTTGTTTTTCATACAAATCGTCTCATTCGGCTCTTGTTTTTCATCCCTCCGTCATAACATTTACCCCGCCAAGAAGAAAACTACTTTTTCACCCCTTGAATACCCGACGGGAATTCATTATTAATACGGCCGTTGACTGCGGTGGCTCCTTCGCAATTTTAAAATATTCTCCGACGACGCCCGCCCCCGCAGTATTTCGCCGCTGTGTTTTTTACACGCTCACACGCGCTGCTCGTATTCGTGCCGACGGAGAAGATTGCTGTGGTCTTAATGACCGTAATAATATTATATCGTCGCCTCCGTGCATATCGTTTATTTTATTAGCCCGACTATGTGTACCGAATCGGTAACCCGACCGAAATCATCGTCGTTCCCCTCTTAGTGTTAAAAAGACAAATTGCGCTATTATTTTTACCATCAAATGTGTTTCGCGTAAAATTATGCATTATTCAAAACGCTGTCGTACTAATTAAGGTTTATTATTTTTTTGATTTCAGGAACGCTGACAAACTCCTCTGTACCACAGTCGCCCACGGACTGCGCGGACATTGTGGCCGCACCGCAATTATTTGCTTCTTCTTATCTGTAAACAATGAAATGAAAAAAATACCACTTGTATTATATAACGTGTACATCGAATTTATATATTGTAAATAACTTTCGTTGTTGTTTAATTTACGTTTTGTTTTAATTTATATAGATTTTATAAGCCTATTTTTCGAGATAATTATAATCGTTCGGGATGATTTTTGTTTGTATTATACCTTTTGTTTAAAAATAACAACAAAACTACAGGCTAGACATTTTTAAAAAGACTGAAATGGCCTCGAAGGTTTCTATGATACCTTGTAGCTAATTGATAAAGCCATATTTTTATAAGAATAAAAAAAAAGAAATTGAAAACTTGTATTGATACAATATATTTGTGGACATGTTATTATTATTTGTACTAGATTTTTCTTTTTTTAACTTTTTATACAAATATATTATTGTGCTTTTTTTTTTTTGGGGGGGGGGGGCAATGTCGACTGCAACGACGCGTACAACAATTTTCTGTAATAGATATATTTTCCAGTTTCAAATTTTTTATTGTATAATCGTACTTTGATACTATTTTGTTACATTTATAGGCTCTGTCGTCGCGAAACGATGTTGAAAAAGTTCCTGTAATTTTAATTTTTTTTTTTCTAAACAAAATAATATTATTAATACTTATTATTATTATTATTATATACATTGTAAACGCGTACAGGTGCTTTTTAATAAGTAGTTTTATGCGATCTGTACAGCTCCGAGTCGTTGGTAATTGTAATGTTATCGGATATTTTTTTGTACATTTTTTCAACTAACCCAGTGTACTTAAAATGAAAATAAAAGAACGGCGGACTTAAAATTGTAAAAGCCGCTTAACGGATTATTATACCCTCGTTTAACTACGTAAAATTATGATTACTATGTATTTATTATTTTCCGTCTCTGTTACTTGTACTAAGTTTTTAGTCGTCATGTGATTTATTTTGTATTATATATAATTAGGCGCACATTCGATGTAATATGTGTAAAGATAATGAAAAACAAATGATAATAGCTTTAATAAAAAGTCATAATTTATAATGCTCAACCGTGTGTTTGTTATTATTTCTGTCAAACACTTCCTGATGCTTCCAAATGAAACGACTTCTACACTTTGTGCGCGTGTTAAATGTCAACGATCGATTCACTTTAAGGAGCGACACGTTGACGTGCGACATCGCGGAGACTGTTTAATTACTTTTCGAACCGACTTGCTTGACGTGTCGGCCTGTAGACGCGAAAACAAGTACAGTAATCTCATACTTTCTCGGTAGTTGGTTTATTTAAGGGCCACGCGGTGTTGTGTTATGCGCGACGGACAAACGACTCTTATCTGTCCAAAACGTCGTCCGGCACTTATCATCACACACGATGTTGTCGGACTATAAATCGTTGTGAATCTATAAATAGATGATAATTCAAGGCTGGGATTTGTTTGCAAGCCGAGAATAAATAAAATATTCGGTCTAAGAAAAGCCAATGGTAACTGAATCAATATGTGTTTCTCACGTGTGGTCGTGGTTGACCAGTTGACGTCCTAATTGGATTTCAACTCAAAAATAATTAAAACTCAATGGACACACTGTTTTCCGGAGAAAACCCTAATTCAAAACATGTATTCTTTCGCGCGAAATGTGTAAATTTGTCGATAAAGACGCGTAATTATAGATTTGTTTACCATTCCGGGCGGAATCGATAATGAAATATCAATCCGCGGCAGAATACATTACAGTCCGGAGTTGTAATTATCAGTAACGGATAATACAAATTGGGAATTTGTAATCGAACACGGCAATGAGGAATAATAAAATGGACTTTTGTAAATAATTCAATGACGCAACACTCCAATGGTATGGACGTTTGTATCTATTACACGCGATAATCTACAAAATGTTTATCAACTAAGTGGTGATGATCATTAATAGAGCTCCGACGTATTAACGAGCGTCAGCGTATAGGCATCGATTTAATCGTTAAAAAATGCGTTCTCGAATAATGATGGTTTAAAAAAGTTTTAGCTCGACGGTATTTGTAAATTTCTTTCAATCGTCGGCGCTGCTGCTGTTGTTAATTATACGAGATTATTTTTATGTTAATAATTTGATGTTCGCCAGTGGTTTCTATATTTGCCGTGTATTATCAAACTGTAGATCGGCGCACTAATGAAAGACACGCACCGTGTTTATTATATTTTTATCCACGGCGAAACACGGTTTTGGCGTGGTCGTTGTACCAAGAAGATTAATTAGAGAACGGTTTTGAAAAATTACCGGCCATCATCCGATAGATCGGCGTAGGCAGTAACGCCGTCGCGGCTTACGCGCATTGTGCAACGAAAAGACAAAACGCACTTGGTGAAATATTTGATTTCTTTGGCACTGTCGCAGTCCGTTCGGGTGGCCCACTGGAAGAGGTGAATAATCTTCGTCGAGGTAATGATGTTTCCCCGCGTACGATGTTGTAACTCTTATCGGCGGTTAAGTGTTCGGACGGACGCAATATTATCAATAGTCGGTAAAAACAAATTGGGTCGGAACGATTGTAAAAAAGGTCATAACACGGGCTCATTAGCAGCACTCGTTAAACTGTTGTTGTCTAATCTCGTTTCTTATCATGTTTTCGGCTGATGTTCACTCGAACGGCTGCCGCGCGCTGTTTCGTAATAACCCCTCGGCAATCGATTATTTTCGAGCCGACGTTTATGAACATGACGAATTGTTTTGTTTTTCGTTATTTTGTAATTCGACTGGCGTTTTTTCGTCTGAAATCCATACGCGTTGTAAATAATATTTAAGAATACGTTCACACGACTACGGTAAACGGTTTGACGCGCCAGAGTCTTTGCGCGTTCACAGTTCCCAGGATTCTCGTTTGTGTCACCATTCCGTGGCTTCGGATTACTCGCGATGCAATTTTTACTCTTCTAAAACGGTTGGGTACCGGCCGATCGATTATATTCTTGCACTCGTGGACCATAACCGATTTCTACGCGGCAACAACATTTGTCTGATAATTTATCGATTGCACGAGAAAACGGTAAAAATATATACACTCGCCGTTCCACCTAATAGTCGTCTAGTCGTTGACCTCATAGCCCGACTGGACTCAAACGGTCTGTATGTTTTGCGGAACTTGTTTCTTATTTTATTTTTTTCATACCATTTTTCAGCTACCGAAACGGACGATCGTTTCCTAGTCTAGAATCTCGCTCGTTTTGTCTACGAGACGATCATCCGTTTGTACGCAAACGAACTCGCGCCGTACGACGTTCAAACGGCTTATCATTTAAACGCAAACGAAACGTTTTTCCCGGAACTTTAATTAAATCCTGTCGCGTTAATTCATCGAGACATAGTGATATTGAGAGGGTAAAAGATTGCTTTTCGATTGTCGTGGCGTTTGTATAGCGTACGTATGTGCCGTTCTCCCACACCAATAAAATATCACTGTGTACTTAGTCGTAATAGTCTGGAGTTGAGTGTTCAGTAATTTTTTTTTTTTATCAATTACCGGTGACGCACGAAACTCAATGGCTAAATGGCGGCATAATTGGTAACGGTGCGGTTTCTTTTTGTGTTCTATCTCTTGCCGTTCTTTTTTAATATTGCCAATTTGTCGTTGTCTCGTGTGTCATACGAACAATATCCCGTGTACGGACCAACAAATTTCATAGTCTAAACGACACGCAGCTTCGTTGCCACAGAAATATTAACTAATTTTTCTTCGTTTCTCAGTACCGCTTAATAATAACGTATAGGCGAACAATGAATTTTGCATATTATCGCATTTTATCACTCGCAGCGAAAAAAAATAACGTCTCCGAATTGTTGGAATACGTGCAAAAATATTTGTCAAATTAGCAAAATATATCTATTTTTTAACGCCGTTCAACTCGTTTCTGATACTTTTACTAGTCCGACTTCCTGTTTAAAATCCACTCGTATTGACGCCTTTGTAAACTCGTTTAAAATCATGTAAAATAATTCATTATTCGTCGTAAGAAGGAAAGAAAAAACGGTTTGCTCGTAAGATTTAAGACGTTGGAATAGTGTTGATGACGTCATTTAATTTTCGAAATGGATATTATAAGAACAATAAATATGAGTAATAAGTAAACGTGAGCCGTATCGAGTGGTATAGTTTTCCAAGTGGAATACACAAGTAGGCGAATTCTGTGATGTCATTATAATAATTACGAATGGTATCTATTCGGAATGGCGTTTGAAAAACAAAACGCACATTTGGTATGCGCGGTGTACGTACGGCACATATCTTGTACGGCGAAAAAAATGAGCATTTCGTAGGACGAATCACGTGAGACGAATGTCTAATGGAGTCGTGCGAAAACGTATCGCACTGACATGGCACAGTAATGTGCATCATCCCGAGGTGCACGCGTAGCATAATATATACAAACACATACATCATATCGAATGCGTCGTCCGGACGGACAGCAAACGGGCGTCAATTTTCTGGTTCTCGTTTCGCCGGTGCTATTTTACGGCATCGGTCCGCCCGGTTTTCGAGCGCACGAAATATCCGAATTTCCAGCGCGGAGCTCATCGGAGTGCACGCGACAATTTACCCTTCGTAATAGCTTTTCGGTGTCACGCGCACATTAAAACTTTGAACCCCAATTACGGTCACTGTGTGTGTGTGTGTGCTCTGACCAAATAAAGGGCCGCCGATTTAATTTTGGCGCGCGCGGCCATCGTGTATTATGTTGTACGCGTATACATGTCTGCGACGATAATGTATTGCTCGGTCAATTGCACGGTGTTAAATCGGACAACTGCGATGTTTACAATACCGCTGCGGACATTTACATTTTAGCGTTAAACCGATAGCCACTCGATTGTTTCCCGTTCATTGGGTACGCTGGTCATGTCCGTACCGTCGCAAAACCCGGTCAAAGCGACGTGTCTCAAACAGCGGTGTTCTGATTTTTGGTCAGTCGACATCGGAATGTTCCTGTAGCCGACCAATGTTGAGTTTTATTTAGAGACGCCGTCGAGTTGTTTGAGTATAAAAGAAATGTCTTCTCAAAAGACCGTTTCGAATCGGCCGCTGTTACGACACATTTCTCACTAATTACCTCAAAGTCCAATTACGAAATTCCTCACTAGCAAAAGAACAGTTTTTTTTTTCACATGTGATATTTTTGTTTTCTATGTTTACTACTACTATTCATTTGACATTTATTTTTAAAGCGAAACTGACTTGTGTGTGTGTGTGTGTATTATTTCAAACGTTTGGACAAACTAACGCTGACAGCATTAGTACTGACCGTGAACTAATTTGCTTTTATTTATTAAACACGAACATCTATTGATGAAATTCCTATGAGATTAGAAAAAATTAAAAGTGCAGCTAAAACTAATTAGAAGTTGTCATATAAAACACGGGCTGTCCAAAATTAGATTGTAATTAAATTTCATACTGTAAACATTTTTTCTTTGATAATTAAAAAGCGGTTCTGCTTGAAATGTCGACTTCAAAGTATAGACGTCTGATTTCGTTTGTTTGGGCTAATGCCGATGACTGTTGGTCGTCGAACAATCCAAAAGAGAGAGAAAAATTACTCGTCACATAGGATTTAAAATTGTCATTTTTTTAAATGTTATTACAACCATCGGGATTAATAAAATATGGACCTGTGAGATACCAATACTATCCATGGAATATGAAAGGGAAATGAGCAGATTAAATTTTTTGCTGTTATAATTTGAAACTAAGCTCATCGGAGCAAATTTTAAAAATGGGATACAGTCGTAATGATACGTGATCTAATATTTTAATTGATATATTTCAAAACGGAACAAGTAATCATTATGATTTACAATTTAAAATACACAGGAATCTTGTAAAAAAACAATTTCTCTAAAAAACGGAACACGATTTTAAGCCAAGATAATATTTTCAGAGGAATATGTTTTTTAATGTTCGTTGTTTTTAATTTTAAGCTTGCTTTGGTTTAAATTACATTCACAGTTTAATATCCTTGGAATTTTAATTGAAGAAATAGTTTTGATTGAATAACATTAGTTG